GATAAGGTAGCGTACTGCATTGGCATCTCATAGGACTGGGTGGCTGCTACTCGGGGAGAAAGGACATAGAAGTTAGAAAATAAAACAATTTTTTTTAAAAAACCTGGCACTTTATGGTCTAACGAAAACCATTTTTGTTCTTTCAACTATAAATAAAGGTTTTACAGTTAAGCCTGGTGACTCACCATTTGGTGGCAGAGTAGGCTCGGCAGTGGGCAGGCGGAAGCAGTAATGGATGTAAGATGCCAGCAGATTGTTGCGGCCATGTTGATCTTGGTTCCCTTCCAGGTTTTTGTGGATCTGATTGACCAACAGAGCCATGGCTTCGAAAGCAGCCCGACCCAGGTTCACTGCAGGTAAATTCAAAGTGAGTGCTTTAAAACAACAACAACAACAACAAAGGTAATGCTTGCCCTAAAGGTAACCACAAGTTAACACATTTATTATCAGGTGCTAAACTGAATCTAGAATATCTGTTCCTCTGTTGTGTGTGTTAATGAAGTAAATTCCTCAATGTAAAGCAAATTAAACGGCTTTGTTTTTCATATCTTCAACAAAAAAATAATTATCAGTAATCATCATATTAATATATCTCTATGTGGTTATTACAATCACTCAAAAAATGAGAATTTGCATTTTTGCCTAGTTTGCATAGTGTTGACAGCCTTCTCACCAATCTGGCCTGCAATGACTGGAGGGTAGACAATGAGCTGAATGAGTTTGTTAAGCAGCTGATGCAAGAACCTGACACAGGTATCCAGCACAGCCCCTCTCAGTGCAGCCATGCTGGCCTTCAGCTCCCCTTCCATGTTTGCCTCAGTTATGATGACGTCCTTCAGGCGGAAAGGAAAGGAGTACTCCTCCAGAACATACACTAACGTGAAAAACTTATCCAGGTGAGGGTCCTAGAAGCACACATGCACAATGAATGATAAGTAACAGCTGATATTGGTGAACTTTGATTTGGCAGAACACCTGAAATTCTATGAGAGCAGGGTGATCCAGGGTGTGTGTGACCTTTCTTTTCTAAAGTGACATGAAACTGCATTTCCCGATGACCTGCATATATGTGAGCCTACAGGAGCCAAGCAGACTGTGACGTACAGTCAAACGGCAAGTCAAACAATAAAATAAATTTCAAGTTTCTCCACTCTGAGCAACATTAATGTGCACCGCACTTCTTTTTTTTTTTTTTCTTCAGTTTACGCCGATTTATTTTGATATTATCTAAAGCCAACAAAATGATTGTTTTAGACCAGGGGTAGGCAACTCCAGGCCTCGAGTGCCGGTGTCCTGCAGGTTTTAGATGTGTCCTTGATCCAACACAGCTGATTCAAATGGCTAAATGACCTCCTCAACATGTCTTGAAGTTCTTCAGGGGGCTGGTAATGAACTAATCATTTGATTCAGGTGTGTTGACCCAGGGTGAGATCTAAAACCTGCAGGACACCGGCACTCGAGGCCTGGCGTTGCCTACCCCTGTTTTAGACATTAAACTAAACTAGTTTCTATAAACATATGCCAGTTACATCTATGACGTTTGTATATTAATTTAAATAAATGTGAATGCCAAACAGGATGGAAATACATTAAAAGTGAAATTATACTGTTTGAGGAAAACACTGATGTTTTATATGATGAAATATGTTTATACGTTTATAGATGTGAAAGACTAACACAAATCTAGTTTTTGATCTAAAAGACAGCCCATAGTCTCAAATGTGAAACTCAGTTTGCTTCGTACATACAGACTTTAACTAAAGATGCACCTAGTGCAATTTTCTTGGTTTATTTCAATTTTTTTTTTAATGCTACCTACTGATAATGATTTTTACCTATTCTGATTTTCTAGGAGCTATTATTGAGAGCTTATAGAAATAAAAACCAGCCTTTCTTCAATGCAAAATAGTATTTTCATACTAAAAGAAATGATTGAACTTTAGAAGTTCCACCAAACTTTAGTAAGTTACAGGATCCTCTCTAATTTAAACAAGTGAAAATAAAGTGTTCTGCTACTGGAACAAGGCACAAATAATTAACTGAAAATAAGTTGTTGTACATCCACCTTTACCCGACGTATTTCACCTTACCAAACAAAAGCAGGTGCAACAACACAAATGTATCTACTTACATCATTTTCTAGTCTAATTATAGCTTCACCAGAAAACAGGACATCGACCCTCATGTGTTTTCACTTGTCTCCATAATTTTTCTCATATCTGCTTTGATCCGTTCACTGCTCGTGAAGCTGCTGGCTTGTGGCTGGTTCTAAATTCTGGATAGTGTTATATTTAGCAACTGCCTTTATTAGCTTCTTTCAAAACTCCATATTCAGCTGGGTGAGGGTGATTTAAATGTCTCATTAGATTTGTTATTAAGAATGTTTTCATGGTGGGCCCTCTGTGGTTTACTTTAGTCAACTTTGTGTCTTCACTTGCAGACAGGAGCCTCTACGCTAACAAAATGTTACTGCGTAGTTGTGAGTGCATTACTATTTGCCTGTGCTACTGAGTACGTTTTTGTGTGTGCACGGAAAGGACCAGCTTGTAATTAGGACTGTCACCAGTCCAGGACAAGGACTGGTGCATGTCTTTTAACTTTAACAAATAAAAGTAACTGCTATGTTCCCATTTCTGTAGACTGACATTTCTATAGCTTCCAACGATGTATCGCAAATTGAGCAGCCCTAAAGTGAGCTCCTTAAAGAGCAGGGAGTATTATTTTTTTGTTTTGTAGTAGTAACACTAAAGAACATTTAAGATAATTCATCGCTTTTTAAGGTATTTTTGATAGCAGATCTATAAGAATTATAAAAAATTTTAAGGACCCACAGCCACGCTATAATAGCAAATTGGGTCTTTACACGTGGGAGGAATAAGAAAGAGCAATAAGTGTAAGAAGCGTATTTGTGTACCTGAGTGTGGACCGAGGAGGCCGCTTTCACTTCGACATTGAACACACCTTTGTGATTATCCACCCACTTCATGCCTGGGAGCTGAACCTGCCGGAGAGTGACACCCAACTCATTTAACACTCAGGTACACCACAAAGGAATAGGTGCTGGAAGAAGAACCAATGTTCACACAATCTCTTCAAAGACACTCACGTCAGGGGTGAGCACCGAGTAGCTAGCCGGGGGCTTTTCCACAGAGACAGGCAGACTGAAAGAGCCGGTGCGTAGTCTGCCATGTTGCATCAGAGGGATCCACTGCAAGCAGAAAGAAAGACACGCGATCTCTAACAGATGGCAAGACAACAGATAGAACTATTGAACAAGTGAGTGTGTGGGTGAAAGTATTCAAGGAGAGCCAGCTGAAGGAGTGCACTCACCGTGTAGCCCACAGGAGTCTCCAGAGGAGTGTTCTGTTTGGGCTGGCAGCTGATGTGGTAAAAGGTGAACAACAAGTGGTGGTTGTCTGTCAGATTGGCAGGAATCTTCATCTTCATCTCCTCATAGAACTCAGGAGACCTTATGAGAAAGAGTTAAACAAGACATTTAGGAAAGAAAGAAAAGTTGGACAGACTTGAGCAGAGGCTTAACAGGTGAGGGAACCTTACTTGTTATGGTAAATGACAGGAGAGTATGCCTCTTTCATGAATTCTGCACAGCTCGATTTCCCAAAGATGACCTGTTTTTTAAAAAAGCAGCGTATAAATGCAGTTTTCCATAACCAATAAGAGATTCACAATGAACACCACAACTGTTTCAAACCCCAAACTGAGAACAGTTCACTTTTTTAAAGGTTTGAAAACTTTTCACTCATAAATGAAAGAAAGAGTGAATTTCAACCAGTTACACTGGTTGAGTATTTTGAGTAGTTTCTATGTTACTGTAACTGTGTCAGCAGCAGCCATGTTACATAACAAGCAAACCTTTTCTACCCTGCAGCTCTACATGGGATTGTTGTTATGGGATATGCAAAAGAAATATCCTGGGTGGAGTGCCACTTATAGTAAACACTATAGAGTGTGCATCGTCCATTTTATACTATATAAACCAAAAGAAAAAAAAAAATCAGAGTGATAACATGAAAGATATGCTGCAGGTCATGCATAACTAAATTCTCCTTCCTTTGCTGCTCACAAATATGTTCCTTTGAAGTTCCCGCTACTGAAAAAGACATCATATAGTATTTCGCTGCCTTAAGCTTTTCTTTGTGGCTGGGATTTCATTTGCCAGAGAACATCACGGTCATGTTGCTTCATTATCCCTGAGTGTAACTCACCGCTAAGGCTTGACTGGGGTCCTCTCCTGCCATGAACTGTACTTTCACAGCAATGTTCCTCACTGAGCCCTGACGGCTGCTGAAGTTCAGACTTTGTGGGTAAACATAGAGCAGGTTCCTTAGAGCCAAAATAGGCAGAGAGAGAAAGAGAGAAAAATACAAGAATTTTAAAAGGCTGCCTAGCCATGAAGGGAACACTTAATTCCTGTTATGATGTCAGCATGTGGCAATAAGATCACACCCCATTTATATTAAATATTTCCCACAACCTACATTATATAACAATCTTATTCTCAGAAAAGACAAGATCATGCGAGCGCACATAACGCGAGTGTGACCCGAACCTGGCCTCACTTGATGAAAGTCACCTTAACCCCCATCCAAGTTAAACATGAGAGGTAACTCCTGTACATATTTGAAAGCTGACTTTAGCCACTTGTATAAAGGCACTGACACACCACACAATCACATGTGATTGATTGACATGACAATCTCCCAAACTTCGTGCACAGAATATAATACATGTGAAAATTTTCTTCGTTAAAAAAAGGCTACATATATTGCTATGCATGATGCACATGTTTGTGACCTAAATGACAAAATTAGTATCGCTCCAGTCAAACTTCAAGGGAGGGTCACTGAGGCAAAGGCCATGGACAAGACCTGTGATCAGACCAAAACCGAGCTAATGTTTTACCCTGCTATCGCACGTAGCCATGCACACATGCAATATAAGGTGGAGCAGCCACCCTCCATTCATCGCTGAGGGGCTGATGACACTGCTATGACAGACAAGTGCCTGTTTATGGCTTTCATTTTTGACTCATACATAAAAAAAAAAAAAGCTTTATTCTGCACAGGCGCTATTGCTGAAAGATAAATCAGAAATATCTTCTGAACATCTGAAAGAACTGAGGAAACAACATTTATTATCACAATGATCTGGAGCCTGTGCTTGCTTTTTGTGGCTGGAGCAGTGCACGCAAGCCCGGTCAGGACCAGCAAAACGGAATACAAGGTGGCACCGCAAGAAGAAGTCAATGTGCTCATGTTTGGTGTCTTACAGTTTGGCGAATCCCTAAACTATGCTTATGAAACCACTGAGGCAAAGATAGCGAGAATCAGCCGGTCTTTGAAGAACACTGAGAGAACTCTCCAAAAGCTGGGGAAACAGACTGAGCAGGCTGCAGAGGTGGAGAAACAGATCAAAGAAGTGATACAGCTGCTACAGGTAAGAAGACATGGAAATATGTAAACAACAGATCCCCCAGGTGAAGGTGAAAGGCTGTGGTATTTGGGGAGAGATAATGTCTCAGAATTACAATCAAGGTTCAATCTCAGTACAGCATACGGGAGCAAACTTGAGGCAGAGTATATAAGTCGCCATCAGATTGAGGTGGAGACACAGAGAGGGAGAGAGAAAATGCAGCTTTTTGGTGACTTGTGAAAGCAAAACATTTTCTTTAAAATGCCTACATAAAATCCTGTATTGCTGTTATTATGTGGGCACTCACAGCCAAGACAATCATATTACTTTTATTCACTTCATTTGTATGCTGTATAAGGTTAAACCATACTCTAAAACCATACAAGAGCAAGCAAAATGAGTGTGAAAGCTACATGTAAGACTCTGGGGAAAGCAGCTGCCAGCTGCACTGGGGCTTTTGTTGGGGGAATAATATAGGCACATCCTCTTTTGATAGGCCCAGATGGCCCAGCAACATGCTCAGACCACAAAGACTAAAGAATGGCTGACCAGCCTGGAGAAGGAAGAGCAGGAGCTGAGGACAAAAGTGAACCGGTTGGAGATGTACCTCAGCAACTCTGTACCTCCAAGCATCAAGGAGCTGCAGGTAACAGAAAGCTGTACTCAAAATAGTTACAGTTCAGCATGAATTCTAACACTCCATCACTCCATAGTTGCTTTTGCTGGTTATTGCTTCATATTTGAACACTAGTCATATAATCACTGACAGGTTATTTTAACTTTACTTCTGTTTGTAGGAGAGAGCGGAGGAGCACGACAAAGTCTTGCGAGGCTTACAGCTTTTGACTGAGCTCCAAAAAGAGGATATTGAGAGTCAGAATGAGCAGCTTGCCAAACTGCAGAAGATGGTAAATAACTTGTTCAAACTATCTGATGTTCTTGATAAACTTTCCATGTTTTTATTTAATTAAATTTGCTACTTTGCTTCCCTCTTCCAGAGTGAAGTGCTGACATGATCCAGATCTTAACTCCATAAACTCACTGCACTCCCTTCCAACCTCGCTATGGATGCTATAGATCTACTGTACTGGCAGAAAATATATATTTTGGGTCCTTCATAATTACATCCTTGTTATCGTGCCTGTAATTTATATTTTGTGCATTATTTTTGTGTCTTTACATCAGTATGCTTTGTAAATTTGCTTTTTAATATAAGCTGTTAAATTATTAAAGATTGTGTTTGGTGAACTAGTATTATATGTACACGCTGTACATAGAATAAAAACAATTTGTTTGTTTTTTGTATTTTTATGCTTATATTCTACATGAAAATAACATTAGTAAAAAAAAAATTCAGATTAAAAAAAATGCTGGAAAAATGTCTATTTTTCTCCTTTAACTATTGACTTAAAGGTTGAAGAATATCAGACTCTGTCAAAAATCAATAATCAAATAGACACAAGACTAGGCCCAGACTAGGTCAATATATATTTGCTTAATAGGTAAACTTACTATAAAGCAAACATACACAGTGTGTTTTTATGTGTGTGCCTTTGTAAGATGAACGCTCACCTATAGGTAGTGTGCGGTGTGTATACTTGGCGGGCGGGGAACTCCAGCACCTCTTTGGTTGGTCGAACACGCAGGTCTGGATATGGCTTCACATGAAGCAGCTCTGGTGAGAGGCAGTAATGAGGCAAGTCTGGAGCTGGAGAGATATCGATCTTCAACTGGGCTGAGAGGCAAAGCAGGTCGGGGGTTAAAACAGAGACATATAAACAGTGCATCTAAAATCACCCATGAAGCTTTGGGTGAACCTTTCCTTGACAACAGGAATGTGTTGGGTTTACCTGTGACAGGCCTCAGGCGGCGCAGAACAGAGGACGGTCTGCGCATATCTGCAAGATACTTGTAAAGGTCTTCATCGCTCAGCCTATCCCCCTCCTTGGTAAACAAAAGAGCAGAGTGTGTTCTCTATAAAACTGTTTACATTTTATTTGAAAAGCATTTTTTGATCATCCCTCTTATATTTTAAAAAATCCATATATTTAGGACAAGTCAGCATCTTTGTTCGGTTCAGTCTTATCCTAAAAGTGGACACTGGGGAGGGAGTTAAATGCAGTCAGGTTTAGAAGAATGACCAGAGCACTGACAATTTAAGTGGACTGCCATGATTAAGAGGGTGTGTTGGAAACATGTTGCAGTGAGAGGAGTATGTCACATAGCGGACACGCTCACAGGCTTTGTTTCATTTGTCTCTACTAAATTAAAAAGAGTAAAAACAGGCTGCAGTTTTTCACTTTTATGAAAACTAACATTTTTAAGGGAAAGGCTTTTTGACAATTGACTTTAATAAATCACACCACCTTCATGGATTTTACTAGGATAACATATAGCATATAAGTGGTCTGAAAAACCCATCGTTTGAAAGAAATGCACTCTTGATTCACAGTTACATAAAAAGGGATGTCTGCATAGACTGTGCTTTCACAACAATTCACTGATAACTATGGTGCAACAGCTCAGAGAGCATAATCTTTTTTTTTTAAAGATTAATAATTAAATGGACAGTATTGCCCCAAGGTAATACTGTCCATTGGCAGAAAAAGGCAGAAAGGCAGAAAAAGTAGTTTTAAAGCACTGGGGCTATTTATTTATTTATTTATTATTTATTTATTCCCATGTCTTTTATTAGATACTGTTAATTTCATACTATTAATTCTATTTATATAGTAGCAATTCACAAGACAATAACTTTCTCTGGACACTTGACATTATTTAAAGTAACAATGTGACAATAATATATAGGGAATTCCACTGATTACATTTAAATAAGTGCTTGTTGACAGTAGAAAGAAAAATGAAACTCTACTTTTTATGCAGTTATTTATTATGTCTCACCTTTTGTTTCTATAGTGATATTCAACTACCCCATTAAAATAATGGGTAGTTTACCTCACTGTAAGGACAGATCTACACATGTGCACTACTAAATACCTGCTTGAAGAAGTTGGTAATGGTGAGTGTTGCAGGACGGAAAGTGGCAAAGTTACACATGTCATCACCGATGCTCATCCGCTCGAACCCCTTCTTCTTTCTCTCGTTCCACGTTCCATGACCTTTTCGCTCTAGCAGTGACCCAAAGGTGTGTATTATAGGGACAGGAGACATTTGTTACTGTAATTAGGCAAATGGTCTGCATACAGTGATCAGCCACAACATTAACACCAGCTGCCTGATATTGTGTAGGTCCATTCCAGGTGCTAAAATAGCTCTGACCTGGAAACACGACCTCTGATTGTGTTTTGTGGTTTCCGAATCCAGGAAGTTAGCAGTGGACCCTGTGAGATTTGGAGTGTGGGGCCTTTGGACCAGTGACGATGCATTCCACATATGCACAGTGCAGAAACTACGGCAATATTTTGGGATTTTTAAGTTCCTCAAGCAATTCCTGAGCATTTTTTCTTTTATAAGGCACACTGGCAAGCTGCGAGACGCTGCTGACATTGCAACAGTGTTTAAGTGGACAGTACACATCACACTAACATCTACACGAATGTTAGGTTTCCCAGCATCATGTTCCATTCTACCACGGTGAGGCTCCTGTCAGTAGTTTTAATGTTGTGGCTCATCAGTGTATGTGCACATGTGAAATTATGCTTGAAATATATGTATATGTATATAATCAGTAGTACCAGAATCAGAGTCTGGGTCAGACCGATCCAGACCTCCCACACTGCTGACGATGTTGAGAAGGTGAATGGCCGTCCAGGCAAAAGGCATGCGAAAACGGCCGAGACGCGTGCATGACTGCTCTGCCTGAAGGCGCAACTTCTCTAGCTTCTCCTTGTGCTGCAGTGGAACAAAATAGGATCTGAAAAGATACTGAACAGCCTAAAACATCTGCAAGAGCCAGTATTGGCTTACCAAAGACGACAGTAAATATTGCAGCCACCCTGACAAAATTGAGTAATTCTTGTGACTAGACAGTAAGAGGGTCCCACGTGCATGGCGGCTGCAAGCTCTGAGCATTGCAACAGTTTAAAGAACATTTTGGCTCCATTACCTTAGACGAATCGGATTCTTTCATAACCATGTAGGGCTCACAGCATTCACTAATATCTCCTTGTTGAAGGACTTTTTCAAGCTGAAAAACACATGCAAATGCACTTTTAACTCACTGAGAGCAATTATGTGATTTAAAGTAATATTTGTTGTTGATGTTCAGCGCTGTGAATAAGTATTTGCACTCTTCTTCTGATTTTTTAGTCTTTTTGCATAATTGCCAAACATGTTTCAAATCATCAAATGAATTTTAAAATTACACAAAAATAACCTGAGTAAATACAAAATGCAGTTTTGTATTTAGTTTTTTAGCCACACCCAAGTGGCCAGCCCATTCTACAGACCTGATTACTGTTAGGCGTGCTGAATCAAGAAATCACTTAAATAAAACCTGTATGACCAGGTGAAGCAGGCTAAAAGATCTTAAAATGCATTAATGGAGGATGAGGTCCAGGAGGTCACAAAAGAACTCAGAAAAACATCTGAAGAACTCTAAGCTTCACTTGTCTCAATTAAGGTCAGAGTTCATGATTCGACAGTAAGAAAGAGACTAGGCAAAAATGGCACCCATTGTAGAGTTCCAGAGTCAATACCACCACTGACCAAAGAGAACACAAAGGCTCATCTCATACTTGCCAAAAAGCTTCGCAATGATCCCCAAAACCTTTAGGAAAATTCTGTGGACTGATGAGACAAAAGCTGAACTTACTGGAAGGCTTGAACCCTGTTACATGTGGCATAAAACCAAAACAGCATTTCATAAATGTGCATAATCCAAATGGTAAGCTGTTCGTGGTCAAAAACCCTACGATGTGGCTGAATTAAAACAATTGTGCAAAAAATAGCAAGCCAGAATTCCTTCACGGCGACGTGAAAGACTCACTGCCAGTTATGGCAAATCCTTGAATGCAGTTCTTGCTATCTTGGGTGGCAGAACCAGCTATTAGGTTTAAGGGGCAATTATTTTCTCACACAGGGCCAAGCAGGTTTGGATGGCTGTTTACCCTTAATAAATGAAACTATCATTTAAAATCTGCATTTTTATTTACTCGATTTATCTTTGTCTAATATTAAAATTAGTTTGAAGATCTGAAACATCCAATTGTGACAAATATGCCAAAAACTAAGAAACAAATCAAATGCATTTTCCCAGCACTGTACATGTGTAGTTGAGTTTTTCAGTACCTTAATGACCAGGAAAATGTCAGGAGAAGGGTATGTGATGGAGAAAATGGCGGAACGAGCCAATGTAGATATGGCGACGTGAGGTGTATGGGGTTTTAGGAGTCCTTTCATCTGATCCGAGTTAAGGTCAAAGTAGAAATTCTCAGAGATCTGTTGGGAGGAAAGATAAGCGGGAATCAGAGGAGGCAGGGGAAGGAAAGATGATAATGGAAATGCACGTCAAGGGATGCTAATTCAGTTTTGACTCAGTGATCTAAACCGCAAGACCACTTAGGCCTCTTTGAGAAGAGGGAAATTAAATTAGTGAAGTATGAGCTCAGCATTATGTAAGTGGTTTTACAGAGTGAAACATTGAAAGAAGACTCATTATGCCAAATAAGAACTAATCAAATGGAACAAAAAGAAATAAAACCTTTTTCTTTTCCTTGATGTCATAAAGGGCAAGTGTTCCAAATATTGGCTCGATTTCTATTTCAAACCTGAAAAACATACAAAATAAACAATGTCAAATAAGGAGTGCATTGGGGTATTTGTAATAAATATAATAACCAGAGCATGAAGATACAAATGCCAGGAGCAATACTCCAAATGTTCCTTACTTCAGAGACAAACACTTGACCATGATCCTCTGGCCACAATGTTCCTTGGGCACTTCAGGAAGAGAGCATCTCTCTACTGCTTCATCCTGCCACACAGAAAGGAAAACAAGACCCCGGCATAGCATTTACACAGATGTCATGGCAACATAGTGGCAGAGAAACAGTGAAGTGTACACATACATAAAAAAAAAAGGATGAGTGAGAAAAGGAGAACACTGAGGGAAGGAAAGCAAACAGTTCTCCTGAAGTGGCTGGATTTGCAGACATTATGGACATTCGCTTTATGG